GGATGGCCCTGCCCCCGGCCATCTCCCCCCCCCCCCCCGCCCCCCAGCACGAGCCTTCCCCACTTCCATTCCCCCTTCCCTGCCCCCCGGTGGTCTGCCCCCCTTCCCCCTCGCTTCCTGTCCCCTCCCTTCTTTGGCTCTCCTCCTCCCCTCTCCTCCTCCCCTCTCCTCTGCAGACTCGTCTACCCCTCCCCCCCCTCCCGCCGTCCCCTGCCCATCCACTCGGCCATCCTGGCTAAGTTGTCCCCGCGCGCGCCCTCGATCTGATGACGGGGTCGTGAAGCGCCCTCCGCCGCCCGCCCCACGCGTGCGCCATCTGCCTGCCCTTTTCCTGTGCTGGGCGCCTGTCTGCCGGCCTCCCACGCCGCCCCTGCCTCTCCCACCGGGCCACTCGGGACTGCCCCTGCCGCGGTCTTCCCCTCTCCTTCTATCTGTCTTCCTGTCTCTTCCTTTCCTCCCAGTGGAGCGCAAGGTGCGCGTGAGTCGGGCCACCAACCCTCTCCGAGTACTCGACAGGCACTTATTGACCTCCTTGTGCCAACTCGGGCACCCTGCCCTGGCCCCTGCCTTCCTCCATTCCTCTCGATCTCTCTTCCTTTGTCGCACGCACGCACGCACGCACGCACGCACATACATACACACACACACACACACGCGATCTTCCTCTTCAACAGTATCTGCCCATTGCCCCGGGTCCCCCTTCCCGAAGCGCGCCGTCTCAATGACCATGGAGACCGGTCCGTCGTCCGAGCCGGCCCACCATCCGGGACCTGATCAGAATGAGGCCGAGTGTCGGATCTGTCGGTCGTCCAATCCCATGGCCCAGCTCTGGGGCGAGGATGGCGCCCTGGGCGAGGGCCTGGCTGACGCCTCAACCAGCTCCCCTTGGGGACCGGCCCAGCTCCATCGGATCTCCTCGCTCTTCGGCACGGCCGCCACACCGGTTCTCAGTGGCGGCCGGGTGTCCGATGCCACCCGCATGAGCATCATCGGCTACTACAACACCTTTGTTAAGCCTTGCATGTGCTCCGGCAGCATTGTCCGTTTCCCTTTGTTTTTTTGTGTCCGTTGCGCCCCTTTGCCTCCCCCCCCCCCCTCGCCGGGGGGTGTGCCCCCCCCCCCCCCCCGACGACCCCGCGATCCATCCGCCACTGACTTCCCTTTCCGCTGTTCCTCTGCTGATGTGTGCCATTCCACCATCTCTCTTTCTTTCGTTCCTCCTTTCGATCCTTCGGTCCCTCGATCCTTCGTCCTTTCTTTCCCTCTCTCGCCTTGCCTCTCACCACCACCCCTTCGCGTACATGCGGATCTGCCTGTCTTCTTGTTATTGCGTGTGCATGTGTGCCATCGACTGTGACACTGCACCCAGTCTCCTGACATGGGTTGCTCTGCGGAACTCCAAGTACGCACTTTCGGCCGGTGCTGGCCACATCCCTCCTTTCTCCCCCCCCTCCTCGTGGCCTTTCTGCTTTTTCTTCCAACTTACCCCCTCCTACCCCAACTGGGCTCCCCGCCTTTCCTTCTGCAGGACCTGCGAAGTGTGCAACCATGAGATCGTGTACCAGCCCGGTACGCTCTTCTTTCTTTTTTTTTTTTGCCCCTCTCTTGGGGTTTGCAAAAACACCCACCCTCGCTGACCGCCCCTCCCTCCCCCCGATCATGCACGCACACGCACACGCACACGCACACGCACACGCACCCAGTCTTTCACAGCCAGGAGCGCGAGATTTCCACCAGCAGCCTGCTGAAGGCCGGCTTCCAATCTCTCGTGCAGACGGTCACTCGGCCGACGGTAGTCATCTTCACTTGGCTGATCATCGTCCCGCTGACAGTGCGCCTCTGCTGGTACATGTACTTCGGGCAGGCGCCCTGGCTGCTGGTGGCCCAGTTCCCGAGCATGGCCCCGACCAAGCCGGACCCCTTTGTCGGACCGGATCTCAACCCCCCCTTGGCGGATCTCTTCAGCCGGACCCTCGATCCGACGGGCTGGCTCACGCACATTGGTGCCTTCACGCCGCTCGGCGGCCGGGCGGGTGATGACCACAGCCGATCCCCCGTCCCGGTGGCTGTATCCCCGCCGGGCGGTCTGTCGGCCTCGATAGCCGGCCCTTCGGCCGAGCCGCAGGAGGTTCTCCTTAGCCAGCCGGGCCGGTGTCTTGTGCGCTTGGATTCCGGCACCACACCTGGGTCCAGTGTGTTGTTGGATTCGGCCACCATTCTTGGGCCGGTGACCTTCGGGGATATTGCCTTGTCGACATCGCTCTCTCGCACGGCTCTGTTCCCCCTGGCCGGGGAGGCCCGCGCCTCGGGCCTGTCACCGGCGCGCATCCTGCTGGAGGTCTGTGGCCAGGCATGCCCGCCGGCCGGGGCGCCTGGCCGGACACCCGGCGGCCCGTCGATCGACCACCCGCCAGGCGGACCTTCCGCCGGGACTTTCCCCCAAAGCCCGGACATCGAGGCGCTGATCGAGAGCCTGAGCGTGCACTCGGCCCTCGGGGCTGAGGCCTTCCACTTCTTCCCCCTGAGCACTTGGCGAACGGCCATCTCGCTTGAGGGCGGCAGCACGCCCAGCCGGCAGCTCCTACGGACGCATGTGGCCGGGCCCGGACGCGCGGCCCTCCTGCCGCCGGGCGTGCGTGACACCCTGGCGACTGGTGGCTCGGCCGACGACCGGCCAGCCAGCCCGCCGGAGACGCCGGATACCGCGGCGGCACCGGACGCGGCCGTGGTTGCGGCCGACCGGTCGCGGTTTCCGCGGCTGATCCAGCCCCTTGGCTGGCTCTTGGCACTCCTTGCCGATTGCGTGGCCGGGATCCTGCTGTACGCCTTCAACATGTCGGCCCTGATGGGCCTGACCGAGATCCGTACTCGCGTGGTGAATAACAGCGATGCGGCGGCCGCGGAGAGTGCCACAGCGGCGGCCAGTGCTGCCGCCGCCGCCACCGCTGCCGCCGCCGCCGCCGCCGGCGCACCTGCAGCTGCAGCTGCTACCCCCGCCGACGGCCGAGATGCTGCTGCGGATGCCGCGGCGGCCGAACCGGCCGCGGGCCTGACTGCCTCGACGGAGGCCGGGCGCCCTCCATCCGGCGGCCTGATCAGATCCATTCCCAGCCCCGGCGTGCGTTTCACCGGCAGCATGTCATTGATCGACTTGACAGATGGCGGGCCTCCAGATGCCCCATTCAGTGGCGGCAGTGCTTCGATGCCGGGGGGGTTCGTCCGGCGGCGGTCCCCTTCGGCGGATTACCTTCGGCCCTCGTCGGTGCCCGACATGGGGTACTACTCCCCGGGGATGGTGGCTGCCCAGCGGGCGGTGTCCCCGGGACCGGGTGATGAGGGCCCATTCGCGGCCGACACCAATGGCACCGGCTTGGCTGCCACGGGAATGGAGCACTTGACCGGGTCGCCGCCGCCCGGCCTGCGGACGCCCCTTTCGCCGGTTCAGCTGCATGGCAACCCTTACGCGCCCTCTTCGCCCGGCGGCCCGGCGGCCGGGGGGTACCTTTCTTACCAGCATCTGTCCTCGGGACATGTGTTTCCGCACCCCCCGGGGCGCGGGCACCAGCGCAGCACATCGCTCTCGGTGCAGCAGCAAATCCAACGCCGAGTCAGCATCATCGCCAATGACATGAGCGACGACTCGTCGCCACTGTTGACCGGCATGCGGCCGCGCTCGGTCATGGGGCGTCGCGAGAGCGAGCGCTACACGTCGGAGTTCGCTTCGTCGCGGTCCTCCTCGCGGCGTGGATCGGCCCCGATGGCGGTCACCGGGTCTCTTGACAGCCTGGGCTTCGGCGGGCCGGCCACTGGCGCCCGATCGCCCATCCATCCGATGCCCCTGTCGCCGGGGTTTCTCGGCGGCGCCCAGCCCGCCGGGTCTCCTCATCTGGCGGCGCCCATCGGCGGCGGCGGCGGCGGCGGCGGCGGCATGGGTCATCCGTATGGCGGCGGTCACACCGGGTCCACCGGGGGCCGGTCCCCCTCGCCTGGTTTGAGCCGCGGATCCCCCAGCAGCATGTCCGCCTACCTGAGCCCGGGCACCCCGAGCAGTCCGTCGCCATCGCCGACGGGGTACCCGGCCGGGGCTGCGGGCAGCCCGCACAGCCGGCCCCGGTCGGGCAGCATGTTCGCCATGTCTCCCCATCGCCGTGGCTCCCACAGTCTCTATTCGCCGATGGCCTCGACCCTGGTCCTGGGCCAGCTGTCGCCGAGTTCCTCGAGCGCCGCGTCGCCCATGCCCCTGGCTGCTCATGCGGAAGGCAGCCCGACTTCCCGACTGGCCACCACCACCACCCCCCCTGCTGCAGGTAACGCAGCACTCTACCTCTCTTCGCCTGTTTTCCCCCCCTCCGCCACCATCCCCGATGCCGCCGCCGCCGCCGCCGCCGCCGCCGCCGCCTCCCTCCCCGCTGGCGCCGCCGCCGCCATTGCCTCGCCGTCATCCTCGCCCTCTTCGCCACTTCGTACCCTTAGCCCGGGCTCCGGGTTTCTGTCGGTCAAGAAGCCGGATGACCCGCTGGGGCTTTTCCTGTTTGATGGGCTCTTTCCCGAGAGCCTGAGCTCCGGCACGAGTCCCAATCCATCGCCCAATCTGGCGGCCATGGCGGTGGCGGCCATGGCTACGGCTGACAGCGACGACATGCACCCCGATGCCAGCCCCTCACTCGCGCCCAGCGTCGCTGGGCCCCCTGCCCCTGCCCTTACCAGTGTTTCGTCCCCCCCGTCGACCGCCACGGCTGGGTCGGCCGCAGATGCTGCCTCCGCACCCTCGGGCGCCATCCCGCCGTCCGGAGCCACATTGCCCTCGACGGCAGGGGCTGCCACGTCAGACGCCCCGGCGGTTGCCGCACTCTCGGCCGCTCACATTTCCACCCCCGCCCCCGCCCCGGCCACTGTCCCCGCAGCTGCCTCCCGTTGCGCCGGCCCGCCTGCCACTCTTGTGGTCGTGGGCGCCACCGCCGCCGCCGCCGCCGCCGCCGCCGCCACCCCCTCATCCGCCAGCCCCGCGAGCGGGTCGGCCGCCTCTGGAACTCGGTCTGCCGAGGGGTCCGGCCGGCTGCCGGCGGCCGAGTCGGACTTGGGTCGCTTTGGTATCAACATGGCCGAGAGCCCGGGGAGCCCGGTGCCAAGCAGCCCGGCGCGGCCCTCTCTCCGCCGGACTTCCCTCAGCTACTCGACCAGCATGCCAACCTCACCCTCCTTGGGGGAGGTCAACTCGCCGGGGGTTTCGGCTGTCTCGGCGTCCTTTTCGGGGCTCGGGTCGCCGGGGGTCTTCTCGGCCTCCGGGAGCTCCTCCGGCGGGCCGGTTGCCGCCACGCCGGAGTATGCCTTCGGCCGGGGGCCAGGCAGCTCGCCGGCCAGCGATCGCCGCCCGGGTGCCCCTCATGCTGCCTATAGCCGTGGTTTGACGCCGGTGTCCGAGGAAACGTCCGACCCGGGGCTCGGGCTGGGCTCCGAGTCTCACGAGTTCTTCACCCGGCTCGAGTCCCCCGGCCCGGAGGGATTCATGGCAAGCGATCACCCACGTCCGGGCAATTGGGGCATGGACTTCACGCGGCTGAGTTCGCCCACCGGCGGCATGGACGGCTCGCCGTACTTTGGGTCTAGCGGCATGCCCGGGCGTGGGGCCTATGCTGGGAGCCCGGCCGAAGGGGTGCCGAGCTCCTCCCTGGCCCGGCTAATGTACCATGCCGATGGGAGCTGGCGTCAGCAGTCGGAGGACCTCGGCCCCGGGGCGTCCGTTGCCAGTGTCGGCTCCGGCCCATCGCAGCTCGGCGGCCGGGGGACTCGGCGCCGGTCTGCCAGTCTTTCCTGGGGATCTTCGGCCGCACGCCACAGCGCATACATGTTCACTGGCCCGGCCGATGTCGGCGGGCCCATGGGAGCCGACCCCGGTGGCAATGTGCCCGGGGAGAGCCCCAGCCTCGGAAGTGGCCTGGCGGCGGTGCCCGGCGGCGGTGCCCGGTCCCCGGGGCTTGCTCCCCGGCGGATGTCCGGTTCGTCGGCCTACCCAGGCCGCGAGGCGGCCGCCGGTTCTGCAACCGCCAATGCCGGGTCACCCATGCTCCTGCCGCCGAATGTGGCATACCATCATTCCGGAGCCTCGTCCGGCTCGCCGTCCTATCCTGGACCACGGGAGGCTCACCTGTTGCCTGGGGCTGGCTCGGCGTCCGGGCGCTTTGCCTCTCCAGCTGCCCCGGGCTCGGACTCCTTGCCCTCCCTCAGCCGCATGGGTCCGCCCGCGGGCAGCACTGTCACTGGTCAGGGCATCACCATCGGCGGGAGCATCAACATCAGCAGCAGCCACACCGGCATCAGTAGCAGTGATGGCAGCAGCAGCAGCAGCAGCAGCAGCAGCAGCAGCAGCAGCAACAGCAGCAGCCACAGCAACAGCAATGACATGGCTTCCCCCGGAGGCCAGTGGGCCGATTCGGGCAATTACTATGGCCTCGCGTCGAGCCCACTGCTGGGCGTCGGGATCGGGGGCTCCGGCCGGTCCTCCCGCCGGGGGAGTGCCAGCTATGGCCGTGCGTCGCCGCTGGGCGGTGTCGGGGGGCATCTCCTCCGGAGGTCTCCCTCCCCCGGGCCGAGTGGCGGCCTGCTAGATGGCACCATCCACTCCATGGCCATGGGGGATCCGCCTCTCGAGGCCGCGGGCAATCTTCCCCTCCCGGGGTTGATGCCCATGGCCGGGGGGCTCTTTGGCGGTGGGGCCGGCATGGATTTCGGTGCCCCGCCCGGGGTGGCGCTTGGCGGTGGGGAGCCGGCCCTGGCAGCCGGGCTTCCTGGCATGGGGGGCCTGCCCCCGGGACTGAACCATGGCGCTGCCCAGGAAGAACGTCGCAATGAGCTGATTGCCGCCATCAATAACCTGAATGACTCGCTGCATGGGTTGCTGTCACGCGGGACGGAGCCCGAGGCCGGCACAGGACGCGGGGAAACCGAGAATTCCTTCCTCAAGCTCCTGAAAGAGCTGCTTGGCTTTGGCGGGTCCTTCCGTTCCATGCTGGAGAACATCCTCTGGGTGTTGATGTTCAATTCGGTCTTTCTCGGATCCTTCGGCTTCCTGCCTTGGGTCATTGGGGAGTGTGGCTTGGCGGTACGCGTGGCTTCCCTGGCTCTTTCTTTCTCTCTCTCTCTCTCATTCTCTCTCGGAGGCTCTTTTTGTTCCTGCTGTTTGCTCAACTATCACCCCTTTCCTGGTCCCGTTCTATTGGCTGACACACACACACACACACACACACACACTCTCTCTCTCTCTCTCTCTCTCTCTCTCTCTCTCTCTCTCGCGCGCGCGCGCGCTCGCCCACCGGGCTGTGCATCGATACGCGGCCATCCACCGACATCCTAGCTGACTTCGGCGCTATTGTCCGGGGTCAGTCACCTGGTGGCGCCGATCTTCCCCAACATTGGCCTGCTCTTGCGTAATGTCCTGGCCCCGGGCATTCGGACCCCCTTCCGTCTTCTGGCTGACTACCTCAGCCGACGGGCGGTTAGTTCGCTGCTTGTGGGCCCTTCGGCGCGGGCATATCGCCTGGTCGGCAGCTCGGCTGCCACAACCCCCGGGGCCATCCTTGCCGGCGGCGGACACACGGCAGCCCGCCTGACCGCCAAGCACCTGCTCCCGACGACAGGGACCACCACCTCGGCTTCGGTGGCCGCTACAGCCACGGCAGCCACGGCAGCCGGCGTCCTCCAGTGGGTGACCACCCTGGTGTCGTCGGTTTGGTCCAGCTGCCGCGCGGCTCTCGGGCTGGACTCGGCCTTCTGGCTGGCCTCTCCCGGGCGCCTGGAACACTACTTCGTTCAGGGCATCACCGCCGGCGAGGCCATCCGGACGGCCGTCTGCCCGGCGTCCATCTCCGGGGTGGCGGTCGGCGCTTCGAAGGCGCCGGGCCCGTTGCTTCTCGGGCGGCTGGTCTTCGGCCAGGGCATGTGCTCGGCCCTGGTGGAGGCGGTCCCAGTCCTGGCGCCCGGAGACCAACTGTCCGAGACGCGGCTCTACTCCGGCCTGCTGGGGGAGGGGCTCTTCGCCTCGCGCAGCCTGACCATGCTGCTGGGTCCGGTGGGCGCGGCCCTCCGGCCGGTGGCCACCCTGCTGCGACTGGACATCCTGCTCGCCGGCTTGCAAGAGGTGGCCGTGCGGCCGCTTCAGCGCCTGTTCCCCGAGGCGCGGCTCTGGCTCAGCGGGCTTCTGATGAAGATCCCGCTCAAGCTCTTCGGGATGTCCTCCTCCGGGCATGAGCTCAGTCCGCTAACCGGGTCCATTGCCCTGGTGCTGGACCTGGCCGTGGCTCTGATGGTGGGTTACGTCCTGAGTGGGCTGGCGGTGTATGCCTACCTCCGAGCCATGGGCCGGCTGTTGGGGAACAACCCGACTGCCGCCGGGCTGGCCGGGTCCGTGGCCGCCGGCCAGGCGTCTCACCCTGCGGCCGATACCGCGCCGACTGGTGCCTCGGCCACCGGCAACGGGTCGGACATGGCGAGGGACCCGGCCTCGATGGCGGCCGAGGCCAACGGAGCCCCCGCAGCCCACGGGGCCAACCGACATGCGGCCGACCTGGCTCACACTGCCGAGCGCGATCCCCTGGAGACGCTAGACGCACAGGCAGCGACCCTGGCTGATACCCTGGACCCGGACACTGGCATCGAGAATGACTTCTCGTTCATGCAGTCGTCCATGGGCGGTGGCCAGCATTTTGCCGCCGGGCTGATCCTGGTAGCGGACTTCTTTTCTTTCCTTGGCAAGGTGCGTGCCGCCCGCCCAGCGGATGGCCGGAATCCCTCCTCCATCTGCGCCCTTCTCTTGCTTCTGCCTCCTGCCACGCGCGTC